AGGGTCCCCGTGTCGCGTCCTCGCGATAATTAACACAGTTTGATCGCTTCTCCCGTTTCGAGATCAGGACGACAAAAGGACGAAATTTCCGCGGGATGCTTTCGCACGAAACTTATGCGCAGCGCGTTCGGTCGCCGCTCGACGCGCGCGCGCGCGCGCGCGCGCCAAGATTTATGCGCCTTAGGCCGCTTTGATCGGTCCCGACACGGCCGCGTAATTGTTACCGTAACTCTCATGCTAACACGCGCGAAATATTGCAGCTGCGCGGCAGGATCGCGTCGGCGCAAACTGTTAAATATCGCCGTTACGAAGTTTCGACGTTTCGAAATTGCTCGCGGACCGACCGGACAAAGTTCCTGTCCGTCCGAATCGATGCTCCCGGCGCAGGATGCGCGCGCGCTCTCTCTCTCTCTCGTCCTGTGCACCCCCCGTGGAGCAAACCGCGCGCGTTTACAACGCGATCCGCATGCCGCGTAATTAGCAACGCAAAGCGCGACATCGAGTCCATCGGAGTTTCATGGGATACCCGAAAGACCGACGACGCGCACGCGGGTATGCAGCGGCGAAAGAATGGTTGCGAGGGGCGGGGGAGGGGGGAGGGAGCAGGTGGTTCGAAATTGACGCTATTCCCTCATTTTCCATCTGTCTTTCGAGATTTATGAAGGCGGCGCAAAGAGCGCAAAAGAGTGGCCTCTGTATCGAACGCGCGGGCTTGCGTAGCTTCGGCGAACACACAGCTGCTTTATTTAATTAAACTGACAATAATGAAAACTTGGCCGTCGTCTCGCTCGTCGTATTGTTGAATCGTGGAGCCATATTATGAATTAAATTTCGTAGAACAAGTTGCGCCTCGGTTTGACGGCTTTCCGGGTCGTTTCGTCGACTAATTAAATAAGATTTCTCTCTCTCTCTCTCTCTCTCTCTCTCTCTCTCTCTTTCTGTGACCTCCTCGCACCGCCCTCCTGTCCGTCCCGTGTATCGATTAATTAATATGTAGCGTCGCACGGCGCAGGGGTGCGAGAAGGGGCCGAGGTACGTTGTCGAAATAAAACTGCGCGCCCGATTTGATTAATAACCACGGCTTGTAAATAGATCCCGGCCGGCGCGGGGAGGGTAGGAAAGGGAGGGAACGTTTTCTTGTCGGCCGAGAGAGACACGATTGATTAATACGCCTCTCTCGGCAGCGACGCTCGCGTAATTTTATTACACATCTCCCGCGTGTCGCGCTGCCTACGTGCGTCTACGTGTGTATGTGTGTGTGTGTATATGTGTGTGTGTGTGTGCGCGCGTGTACGTGTGTGACGTAGAATAGCGCGTCGCGTGTCGCGCCGTTTCCACAAGTTCGGCAAGCGATCGCAAGCTGCAAGTTCTCCCGGGAAGCGCCACCGCCGCCGGGGTGAAAGGCGAAAACGCGGTTATTCCGGCAGTTTTCGCTCGTATTTCCGTAGGACGGCAACTTTCGCGGAAAGTGCAATTGTCAACATTAAAATTCCCCGGTAGTGGCGCTCGGCGGGAGGAGGCACGTCGGCGTGCCGAGTTGCCGCGCTCAATGAACTCGTTAAATCGACACTGCGCGCCAACTTCCTTATCGCGCGTAACTATGACGGCAGCTTTTAGCCGCGCGCATCCGGGGAGGGGGGAGATAATACGAGGCAAATTACGACGTGCTTCTCCGGATGAGAGAAGCGCGGCCACGGCAAAAATCTCGACTCGGCTGCCGATAAAATTATCTTACACCGTGTCGTGTCGAGTCGAGTCGAGTCGAGTCGAGTCGAGTCGCCGGTCGTCGAGAATCACGAGAATTGCGGGATCGCTCGCGATTTTCTCCGCCATTGGAACGCAAATCTCGCCGGATCGTTATCGTCTTTGCTGCGTCTCGGCTCAACTTCATCGGACAGAGCTACAGAGAGCTGGAGAGAGAGAGAGAGAGAGAGAGAGAGAGAGAGAGAGAGAGAGAGAGAGAGAGAGAGAGAGAGGGAGAGAGAGAGGGGAGGGGCAGGGGGAGAAACGCGAAAGTTACTGAAGTTGAAACGCATAATTCGGGAGATTAAACGGATATCGATAATACCACGGCCAAGCAAAATTTCACCTCGTACTGCTTGGGATATCAATAAGAGCCATCGATCGTCCGACGGCTTCGTCGGGCAGAGCCTCACTTGTCGGACATTTCTCTGGTTCTCCAAGGAGAGTCGTTATACTCGACGCTTATCCCCTTTTTTCTCCTTCTGTTATTCCGCTGCTCTCTCTCTCTCTCTCTCTCTCTCACTCTCTCACTCACTCGATCGGGACGAGTGAGCGCATATACATTCACACTCGTGTGTACACACGTATACATCGTTCCTCGCGAACTTTCGCTTCCCCAAGCCCCCTTCTCCTCCCCGCGCCCGCCCGTTTTCTGCTCGTCATACGGTACCCAGGGGATTCCGTTCAATTTGCGACTGTCCTCTCTCGCTCCTCTCCCGATTCTCCCTTCTTTTTTCCTCTCGTCATCCTTAGCCTTCTGGCCTAGCGTATCCGCTTCTTCCGCGACGATTGAGCTCACTCATCGCTCGATGAGTGCGCGGCTGAGAGAGCTCCAGAGAATCGCCCGTCCTTCGCGCGTGACACCCGGATGCGTGGCGGATGCAACGCGAACGCAACGCGGCAAATGGACGGCGAATGATTTCGAGATATTCCGAGATAGCGAAGCGTGAGGATGCAGCCTCGACTGTACCTCCTCGAAGACCGTTTCGCCGAGCAGATACCTCTCGACGACTGTGTCGCGCGAGGAGACCGCCGAGACGCTTCCGCGGGCGAGGAGGAGGAAATCGTCGGGATAAGTCGGGGATACCGGATGCGGCCGCGGCTACGGTAACGGCAACGTCAACGACGTCCCGGCGATCGAGCACAAGTGCCGGGGAAGCGGGGTTGTTGCCGGGGAGATAAGATCGCCTGGTCTCGCCGGCGAAGAAAGATAGTCCGCTATCAAGCCATCGTCGCTTCCTCGAGCAGCCCCTTCAAGGATCATACGATTTTCTCCATTGGCGGGGGACTCGACTGGCGGCGGCTGCTCCTGCGCGAGGAAATCGATCGGGATCGAGACACTACGACGAACGACGGATGTTCCCCGGGACGCTCAAGGGGACTCCATTTGCGATATTACGCCAAGGTTGGAGAATGTAAGGTTGGAATTTTAAGCGCGAGATCCGTCATTTTTGAGTGGTCGCGATGGCATGGGCGATGGGCGACGATACGCGCGCAGATTGCGCGGCGTGTATTTCGAGCTATAAAAGCAGCGTTCAAATGCTGACTTGCGAAAATTCGGTGCTTCGTGAAAAATTTATTCAGCCGCGGGCGGGCGGGGTCGAGCGAGCGACCGCGACCGCGACGACGACGACGACGACGACGGTGCCGAGTGACGCAAATGCAACATTGAGGCGAATTATGGCCGATCTAGTTTACGTGTTGAGGCATTTCAAGCGATTCACGTCCGGCGCAGAGATGTTCACGCGCGAGGCTGTTTCTCGCTAGAGGGAAAGAGGGAAGCATATAGCGCCCTCAATGATGATTCCAGCCATGCGTCTCCGACTGTCATCGAGTAATCCCCGTGTATCAATTGCGCGCGCGCGCGCGCGCGCACACACACACAGAGACAGATACACTCGGCGTAATCTGGCCCTTTGCAAAAAGACGATTGGCCAGGAAAAAACTCCGCGGCGAAAAACGTCTCTCGATGGGGCTTACACATCGCCGAGACGGTAAATTGGAGCCGGCGCGGCTTTGGGAAAAATATTGAAATATTGCGAGCTTCCTCGCGTTCTCTCTCTCTCTCTCTCTCTCTCTCTCTCTCCTCCTCCTCCTCCTCTCTCTTCAACGGCACAAACTATCGCGCGAGCGGAATGTGGGTGAAATATCGAAACCGACCCCGACGATACGCCTCCGCGCTAGCAAACTAAATGGGATCCGCGTATTCGCTATATAGAGGCGACTGCCGATATACAGAAATAGTAAATGGAAACGTGCGCGTTTATGATAACTTCGATGAAACGCTCACACGTAAAAACAAAGCCGGCGAATAATTGCGCCAACCCCGCGTTCCAATTATCGTCTCATGGCGCTTACTATGCCAATTTCAAAAGCGCAAACACACGCAGGGGGGGGCTGAAAATGCTCGGCCGAAATTAAAATAAATATAAATATGTGTTCGAATAAACGCCAGCGCGCGCGGCTTCCCTCGTTAGCGAGATGCGCAATTAATTCGCTTTGCAACAATATAATATGCGGCCGTAAAATTGCCTGACAATCGTTTCGTTATCGATTCCCCGGGAGAATTAAGAGGCGCAGGAGAGGGATGCGGAAGGAGGGGTGGGGGGGGAGGGTGAGGCGGGCGCGGGTCCGAATCTACACGACGCGCGCGCGTTATGAAAGGAAATAGGACGGTCGCAGAGAGCGTGAAAATCGGCGGGAATAATCGCGCGGAAGAGGGACCAATTGCGATTGGACGCGGGGCGATTCGCGGCAGAGATTTCGTCAGCTCCCTTCCTCCCTCCCTCCTCACTATATCGCCGTCCTCGCGATGCAACCGCGACGCGGCCGCGCGCGTTACTCTCCGCTCGACTCGCCGCACCATCGACTTCCCGTACACGTAGCGATTGGATGCGCGAGATCACCTTAATATCGGATGCTCGTGGGCATACAAATGGGAAATTTCTCTTGCGAATCGCATCAGAATTTTCTCATAACGATCCTTAAGGGCGCGCGCGTAGTCCCGCTCGCGTGACGATATTTAGCTCGTCTGTATATCGAGTGAGAATATAAATAGAGAGTTTACCGTCTCAAAAGTACCCGCGGAAACGTCGTTAGCATAATGTTCGCCGGCGCGACGTGGCGACACATCCACGCGCGGAACATGTAAAGTCAAACTCGCGCCGGCAGGCACGACGACGGAGAGACGCGCCGGCGAGTTGTGCGCTCTCTCTCTCTCTCTCTCCTCTCTCTCTCTCTCTCTCTCTCTCTCTCTCTCTCTCTCTCTCTCTCACGTGAGAGTACACTTCGAGTACGATCCCGCGGATACATCGACGACTCGGCCGCGTCGCGCGAGGTCGGCTTCCCTCTCTTGATTAATACAGCGGATATTTCAGGCAGGCGCGGCGTGGAAGGTCGCGCGGCAATTCGTCGCTGAGTCGCGAAAAGTTGATCGTTTCACCCGTTTGCGGTGGAATCATTTCAGGAGGTATCAACTTACGTAATGTGTTTCACTGTAAGTGTATATGTATGTGTGTGTGTGTGTGTGTGTGTGTGTGAATAAAAGCTACATTTGCTCGATAACATTTGTTCGAAACGGCTTCGGTAACTGTCGATATATCGTTTCCGTATCACATTGCGCGCTTTGCTCGCCCGGCCCTGCCCGCGAGGTTTTCGCAACAAAGGAGGATCCCGCTGACCTGATTAACCGCGCAAATCGCGAGCTCGGCTCGCGTTGTTTGCCTTACTTACGACGCGGTGACTCAATAACGCGCGATCTGCAAACGCGGCCGGCGCGTCGCCATTATTGACACCTGCTGGCAGCCACGTTGCCAGCCATTTGACACACTCCGTGTGGCAGACGGTAATTATGCCAATTAGAACTACCACGGCTATGCGAGGGACGGTTAATAACTATCGCAAATACGTACCGCGAGCCTGTCTGACGCAGTGCGTGGGCGCGAATATTCGCCATGATCGCGCGCCGATCGTCCGAAGGACGGGCGCGCGAGTCTGCGTGGAAATACACACGTATTCGCTAATTCTGGCTACTCACCTGAAACAGAAAAAGAGCAAATCACTCGTCACATGGAGTTTAAAATGAACGTGCAACAACGATCGCCGCGCCGCCGCGCCGCTCGTATTTCCATCTCGCAAACGCGCGCGGCGCGCGAGAAAGGAGGAATATACGGGGGTTTTCGTTTCGGTATAATTTAAAGTAGAAACTTTGCCAATATAAGGCAATTAACAGAGCGAGCCGAATGGTGAATACCAAATGAGAAGAGCGATGCAAGTGCGCGAAACGGGGCCAACAGCAGCGGCGGGGCTGGGCGCAGCGCTGATTTCAGCCCGCCGCTGATATTTTCGATGAAAATGTTTTGTAGCAGCGCGGTGAAAAGCGCGCGCGTACAGCTTCCCGCGTTGCTGCTTTACATGATATTAATCCGCTGTCCGATGCTGCGCGATAGTACGGCGCAACCGTTCGCGAAGGGCAACGGGGAAAAGAAGGAGGGGTGAGAGAGAGGTGAGAGAGAAAAGCGGGAGCGCGAAAAGGTCAAAATCGCGCGAGCGCGCGCGCTGAATCTTCCGCCCGACTTTCCTTTCCGCGCACGATCCGCGAACTCGCCTCACGCGTTCGCTGCAATTGCGATTTTTTTTTACAAGTCCGCTTTTTGTACCGCCGTCGTGTGTGTATCTCCCGCGTTAAAAAGACCCTTTACAAACCGAAAAATGTGGAAAGTTTCCATTGCTATGGGGAAGACCGTTGTAGAGCGGAGCGGCGCTGCGGTTACCTTCGATAGATTTTTCTATGCATTGCAAAGGAGAATAAAGACGCGAATAAGAATCAATCGCGAGGATACCTTTGTGTTGCACAGCAGATGCGGGCGGGCGCGCGTTCCGTATTCTCCTTTGCATGGGACACATGTACGCTTGTATTATATATAAATGTTTGTAAATATAATTCCCCCGCAGCTCTGTGTAAAAGAGAGAGAGAGAGAGAGAGAGAGAGAGAAAGCGTTATTTATCGAGCGCTCCGGGACAAAGTCCCCTGAAACGCATGGAAATCAAAAAAATAATACAAAGAAATCAAAAAAATAATACAAAGAAATTTTAAGTTACATCAGTTGCAAGAATATGCTAGGTAAGCATACCCAAGAAATGAAATAGTATAAAGTAATACAACAAAACAGACAAAGAATCGTATAAAGAAGTAGTAGTATAAATAAATAATGATAATAATAGATTAGTATAAAGCAACAATTAGGCAATCGAGGGGTGAAAACGGTCACAAGTACTGAGGAGCCCAGCATGACTATAAGAGGCTCGTATTGGATCTCTTTACGAGATGTTCATACAAAGAGAGAGAGAAAGAGAGAGAGAGAGAGAGAGAGAGAGAGAGAGAGAGAGAGAGAGAGAGAGAGAGAGAGAGAGAGAGAGAGAGAGAGAGAGAGAGAGAGAGAGAGAGAGAGAAAGAAAGACCAAGCCGCAGTCTCGGCAAGAAATAGCGGCTCGTGAAGAAACGCCTGTCAGTCCGAGATGCGCACTGATAGAAAAATATCGTTGAATTAACTATAATCTGACTATATTTTATAGTTCATTTTGGCGTCAACCTTATTTTTATAGTTGATGGAACCTGCAAAATATAGTAGAATAAACACAAATATATAGTCAATGATTGTCTTAAATAATTGTTTAGTTACTTTTGCCACATATATGGTAATTTCTCATTCACAAATATAGTGAGATTTAATATTCATATAGTTACATCTATCATCATTTAGCAAATATTCTGGTAATATTGACTATATGAAAGAGTTACTTTACCTACCTACCATTTTATATTTGTATCCATACAATAATTTTAGTTTAACTTACTATAATTCTTAGTAAAAATATTATATGGTTGGTTATATTATGCCTATATCGTAATTATTACCGATATTATGGTAATACTTATTAATATAATACTAACTAATATAATACTTACTAATAAATAAATATGATATTTCGGACTATGATTTAATTACTATATCATTATAATTCCAAATATCATATACTTTTCTCTGAGTGCGCGCACGCATCGCCGCGAGCGATCAACGTGTCCCTTTCTGTGCACAACAGCATATTTAACGAACGCGATATTTAACGAAATATCGGCCGGACGCCGTTAATAATGTACGAACGTTCGAGTGTTGCTCGGCCGCTTTTTCGTGCGAGCGCGAAAACATTGCACAAAACGCGAGGATCCAGCATCCAGCATCATGAAACGCTTTTCTCTTTCTTTTCCCGGTAGGGCGAAGGGTTTTCCTCTCACGCTTGCACCTCCGATACTTGCTATTCCGCGTAAGCGCGATTTCGAGAGTACGCATATTGATTTTCGTAAGTATAATATATATATCGCTTTCTCTTTCTCTTTTCTCTCTCTCTCTCTCTCTCTCTCTCTCTCTCATTCGCGGCGATATGAATAATGCATGGGGGTGATTCTTATCGCGCCAAAGTGGTGCGAACGAACTTCGAACGGCGGAACTTTCGAGTTTTTTCGTCTTACCAGGTTCAAGCCCGGGATATTTCAACTCTCCGGCTCCCTCTCTCACTCTCCCCCTTCCTCTCTTTTTCCACGAGCGCGAGTCGGAGAGTTACGTCGTCCGAGCGGAACAATAGCGCACATCTCTCTCTCTCTCTCTCTCTCTCTCTCTCTCTCTCTCTCTCTCTCTCTCTCTCTCTTTTTCTCTCCCCTCTTGTGTGCGGCGAAAGTTGGACGGACTCGATCAAACACTTTCGACCGATGCCGCCGGTGAATTCGTATTTCCCAGCAGCGCGTGTCGTTCAACGTGGCGCAGAACGACTACGTATACGGCAGTTTCTTTATTTGGCGGAAGAATCGGCGGGACGTTGTCGCGCGATGCACACGGTCGAGCGGCGTTAAATTACGAGCACTTTGTCGAAACCATCAGTGTCGGAAACGCCCTTTTTTCTTCTCGGCGTGGACGCGAGGCGAGACGAGGTGACGCGACGCGACGCGACGCGACGAGACGGGACGAATAAAAATAAAGGGTGACAAAACGTCGATGAAAGAAAATTACTATGCCGCGAAATGGGAAATATATTTTCCCGCGCTCCACTGTTCAGATCAGGATATATTATTCAAGCGATACGTGACGGAAATGCAGATATCGTGACCTCCATTCCGCTGGAAAAAGAAACGCCCGCGGCTCCCCGGGAATGAAAAAAAGAGAGAGGAGGAGCGAAAGAGAGAGAGAGAGAGAGAGAGAGAGAGAGAGAGAGAGAGAGAGAGAGAGAGAGAGAGAGGAGGAAAGAGTAAAACGATGGAAAACGTTGCAAACGCGGTTGGGCGTGTCCGGCACGGATCTCCGACCCGTTTTTCCTTTTTTTCCCTCCCTCGAATCTCCCACGCGCGTATTTGATAATGGGAGCCGCTCGTCCTTCTCGCTCGTTCGCCCGTCCGTCCGTCCACTCGCTCACTTGCTCATTCGCTCGAACCTCTCGCCATTTCCCTCTTTTCGGGCTATTCGCGCGAACGATTTACTCGACAGCTCGATTTAGGAAAGCCGTCAAAGACTGAATCACGGTGTGGTCTCGAGGAGAAAAAAATCTACGTGGGTAAAGAGAGACAAAGAGCGAGAGAGTGAGAGAGAGAGAGAGAGAGAGAGAAAGCGGGGGGGGGGGGAGAGGGCGATCCCGACACACGAGGCACGCGATACACGCGGGGAGCACACGCACGTATATAAGCGCCGCGCACGCAAAAATCAAATTCTCTCGCCACGCGCCACCGAATTGACGATATTTCTTCGCGCGCCCGCTCAATAGGATTAAAGAGTGCCGCGGCGGCGGCGTTTTATCGCGGTGATTCGTCCCTCCTCTCTCCCTCCGCGCGCCCTTCGAACTTCGACACACCCGACGCCGCGCGTCGCTCCGTGTAATCAAATAGCTTCGTAGAATTTGCAATTTCGCCCGAAATATTTACCGCCGCGGGCGGGCGGGCAACGCAATGCTAACCGCACCGATGGCGCGCCGGCTGCAAAAATCAGCGAAAACGGCTGAAACGAGCAGCAGAAACGGCAGGTGTACGTACAAGTGTACGAGCGGCGTTTAGCGTCACGCGAAGTAACACCTTTCTCCCCCCCCTTCCCGCCCCCTCCCTCTACTCTGTCCCTCTACTCTGCCCGTTTCTTTCCGTCTGTTATTCCGGACCGTGGAAAAGCAGCCCAGATGTGCATCAGAAATGTGGCTCGGACGAAGTCCAAAGTCGCCGTTCCGAGTCGACGGAGGAGCGAGATCCGAGCGAGTGAAGGAGATGCGGTTGTGGTCAGCCGTAGACGCGGGACGCACAAACGGAGACGCACTTCTGCTCGCGCTGCCGCCGCCGTACACTGAGAGAAAAGTATGTGATATTTGGAACTATAATGATATAGTAACTAAATTATAGTCCGAAATATCATATTTATAGTAAGTATTACCATAATATCGGCAATAATTACGATATAGTACGACATAGTATAACCAACCATATAATCTTTTTACTAAGAATTATAGTGAGTTAAACTAAAATTATGGTATGGATACAAATATAAAATAGTAGGTAAAGTAACTCTTTTATATAGTCAATATTACCAGAATATTTGCTAAATGATGACAGATGTAACTATATGAATATTAAATCTCACTATATTTGTGAGTGAGAAATTACCATATACATGTGGTAAAAGTAACTAAACAATTATTTAAGACAATCATTGATTATACATTTGTATTTATTCTACTATATTTTGCAGGTTCCACCAACTATAAAAATACGGTTGACGCCAAAATGAACTATAAAATATGAGAGAGTGAGATTATAGTGAATTCAACTATATTTTTCTATCAGTGTAAGAGCCAACGAACCTGACGAGTCAAACGTTGGAGATTGTGCTGCACTGCGTCGTGTACTGCACAAATCATACGGCTCGTCGCTCGTACGTACTATTATCGCACTATTATCACACTGAGAGAAAAGTATGTGATATTTGGAACTATAATGATGTAGTAACTAAA